GGAGACCGAGTTCTTTCAAAACCTCAATTAAAAAATGCAGGTCCGTATTTAAAAAAATCAAGTTGGGCTCTATATCTCACAAATTATCAGCTAATTTGAAAATCTAAAAATACTATCAGATAGCCCTAATAAAGTGGCTATGAGAATGTGCAATTAGTTTTTTAATTTTCTAAAAAGTAATAACAGGAAAAAATAAAATTGATTTTTAAAAAAAATCCGTTTTTTTTCGTAAAAGCTCAGCAATCCTTGAAATTTTTAAAACTTTTTTGAAGGCATCTTGGTGAAAATCCCAAGGAGCGACTTTGCCCCAATTTAACCATTTTCGTATCTATTACGGTTTCCGAGATACCAATGCTCGTACTTCGAATTTGTAGCACCCTGTATAGTATTTTAGTATTATAGTTAACAAAGTTAGTTTATTAGTATTATAGTTAACAAAAACATTTACCTGTCTATGTTTCCTTTTGGCCATTCTATGAAGTTTTAAAACAGATTTTTCATAAAATTTTGGATTTGGCGTTATAAATTCAAATTTTCCTATTATTATATTACCTAAAAAATATGTAATTTTTGGCCTGTACGGTAACTTTAAAGTGAATCATGTGATTAATCTTATTTTTTAACACCTATAGTTCTACAAAAATTAAATTAAAATATCCTCCGCTCATCTTTGTCAACTGTCACCAGAAACAATGTAGCACGTTATCTCGGTAATCTCGAAGACAAATCCTCACATTTTATTCGGCGGACCGTAACAAAATATTGTACAAATCTGTTAAAGTTTACACCTACTCCGTCCCTTAGATTAATCATGTCCCGATATCGCAGAGAACAATCGTTTGAATCAGTACCAAATCAGTACGAACCAGTCATATCAATCTTTTTCAACGCTAAAGATAAAATATACTTTATCTAATTTAATTAAATTTAATATGGGTACGGATCTACAGGGACGGATCAGGAAGCACTTTGAAATTCTCTAATCTCCTCCTCAATTTTAACTATTAAAAAATGTACTGAATCATTAACAACTTGCAATACATTGAGTTATTGAAAACTTTAAAGTTTGCTAATCTAAATAAATGAAACGTAAAAATAAATCTGATTAGTTACACCATTTATACAGGGTGGCCCGAACTATATTCCGAAAACTTCAACAGCATATTCTGCAGATGAAAATGAGTAAAAAAAATATATAAATGTATGTGCTAAAATGCTTAGTTTCGGAGATACAGGGTGTAGAAGTTTCATTTTTATTTCGATTTTTTCCAAATAATTTCAGAATTAACGTTGATATTTGGATGTAAATTGGTGTTTGGGAGTTTTTTGATATGGGAAATTTGATTTTGATGTCATTATGACTCCTACATATAGAGGGCGTCACCTACATATTTTTTAAATGGTTTGAATAGTAATAACTTGTCATTCGTACCTGTATAAAACTACTCAGAAAATATACATTTACGACGTTTTTTACGTAAAAAATGTCTTTTGATAAAAATCGCTACGAGTAATGGTTATCAAGATATTTGGAATCAAAATTATTAATACCAGTCATCATTGACATAAATTAAACATGTTGAATAATAATAAGTTATTAGACTGAAATCATAAATTTGAAATGTTTTTGTGGCAAAAGTTGAACAGAAACTGTTTTGTCATCATTATTTCAAAGAAAAACTTATAATTAATTTAAAAAAATAAAAAGTTCCCAAATTTGTCATTTCAGTCAAGTAACTATCTACTCAATATATGTTTAATTTTTATCAATAATGACATGTATTGACTATTTCCATTATAAATATCTTGAGAACGGTTGCTAGTAGCGATTCTTACCAAAAGACATTTTTTACGTAAAAATCACGGAAATGTATACTTTTTCACTCGGTAGTTTTATACGGGTAGGGACAAAAAGTGATTTTAAAGAACATAACATACGTAAAAATTGTTGATAATTTCGTATAAATTTATTAAATTGAGCACAGAAAAGAAAAAAAGTACAGGCGCAAATATCCAGGCCAAACTTTTTGAATTGCGGCTATCCATTTTGGTTTTAATTAGCTACTTTATAGATTATAAATTGGATATATTCTAAATTGAAACATAATTAAAAGTTATTTTTATGGAAGAAGGCTCTGCACGAATCCGTTATAATTTTTAAGGCCCTCTTTTCGAACTGCTGATAAGTGAATATCCTTAAAATAAAGTGAATTAACCATATTAGTATATCCTGAATGGCAACCCTATCGCTTTCACCGTGTAATTAATATCGTAAAACCTTTTCTGAAACGCGATTTTTCATTGATCCAGTTTTTAAGTATAGAGCTTGTATATGCAAATAAATATACAATAGTTAGTAATTGTATCTTTAATCAAACAATTGAAAATATAAGAATTGAAAAATACAATTTGTATTATCTAGTAATTAGGTAAAGACCTGATTAGAAATTCGACTTCCATTCTACATGTTTGCCGGATGATGATAGGCACAATAAAAACAATTTTTCAGAAATTGGTGGGGGATGACATTGATAATGAACTGATAATTATTATATATTTTAAAAACTTTCTGGTTTACCCAAGACAAAAAAGTTAAACGCAAACAACTTTATTGATAAATGTATTGTTTCTACTTTGAAAAATACTAATGGGCCTTAAAATTAAAGAAGTTTTAAAAAGTTTCTTGATTTTTTATTTAGTAAAATAATATCATAATTTATTCGCAATCGAAAAAAAATTGTTTCCGCGTGTTGTTTAGGGTCAAATATTTCAAGTTAATGTATTCAAAAAGCAGGAATTGCTATTTTAGGAACGAAACATTTTCTTATTCAACAACATGGCGGCTTTCACTTTATTGTTTTGGAGATTAAGATGGAGTAGTTCGAGTAGTCGCATACTGGACTAATAAAGTCGCAGTTCAGTCTTAACAGGTAGAATACTAGTCGCAAGATTGCCTAATTTAGTCATCCTAGAGTATAGCTTGTGCCGCCCCTATAGGTATTCTAAATAAACGAGGGAGTTGTGGTTTGGTTTGGTTTTAAGTTTAGTTTTATATGTGCCTTTCTTACGTCCCATTTTAATTAAGTTTTTTTTTATAAAAACAAAAATAGCACTGAACTGTCTGACTGAACAGAACAATAAAGTGAAAATTTAAGATTTAAGGTTATGATTCAATACAGTTGCATAAAGGTAGTGGCTCGACGTCCTACCAACGTAAGAATAAGGAAATTTAAACAACGTTTGAATTAGTAAAACAGACGACGTGACTGAAACTGACGTCGGAAAACTCTTTATTGCCCAACATTGTAACTACGTTGTCCGAATCACCTAAAGATCACTTAAGCAAAAAAGGTTACAATACAACGTTTATTCGACGTCGCAGAAGCTTTTACTTTGTTGTAGTACTAGTTCAACGTCGACACAACGTTACAACAACGTTTACATTTATTTTAATACCCAAGGTACGCTGCTAACTATTTTTTGTAACTAATCCAAAGTTGTGTTTAGTAAACATGTGGTCGCAAGTCGTGAAAATGCTACTTGGGTACAGTAATGTCAACTATTTCAATCATTGTTGATTGCCCTATATCTGACAATAATTACATTTATATACAAAGTCTAAAAAATCGAAAAAATGATCTCACTATTATAACTGAGGAAGTATTTAAAAAAAATCGTCGTATATTATATCTCTATTACTCGTTTTAAATCGAATTCTTTGAACCTATACCATTAAGTATCGCTTTATAATGACGATGATTAATTTTTCAATTTTAAGAAGAAAATGATGACAAAATACATCTAGATAGTTCACAATCTTGTTCAATTACATTTACCGCATTAAAATTACCCACCATTTTCTTACATAATTTCGCCCATATCATACACATAGAATTGGACCAATATATCGAAAAAAATAATAACAAAACCGAGCGCAGATTGGTCTTTTCCCATCGAAAGTGAATTACGAAAAATAATCAGAGATTCCTTCTTATACATATCTAGGGTGCCAGGGAAAAAAAGTATAAGTCAAAAAAGTTGATTTTTCAGAAATCAAATTTATTTATATGTGATTTTATGGAATTAAATAGTTATGGTTGTTACTGCATTAACAAAATATTTAATGAGATAAGATATTATACAAGTGAAACACATTAACTCAGCGTTATCATTGAACAGAAAACATGACTTATCCTAATTTGACCAAATGAGAAATGTCACTTATACTATTTAAACCAAACAAAACTAAATCCCCAAACCTATAAGCAATATAAAATCGCTCGAGAATAATAAGACAAAACTTGGAAAAAAATATTGATGCCTAAAATACTTCATAACTGTTGCAGTTAGTCGCGTAGGTCATCATCTTCTGAATCAGGGTAAGTATCAGGCATGTCACTACTTTTAAGGTTTCTATAAAAATCGTGAAATGTTGGTGAGATAAGAGGAAGAAGATCTAAAATATCTTTTTCTTCTCTTTTGAAATGGGTATGGAAGATGTATAGAGGCGTTCTGGGTACAAACGTGCATCTTGTTGTCCCCGACGAGTAAGGCATAAGGTGTGAAAAGGCTCATCGTTGTCCAAAGTAGTTTTGTAAAGTATTTTTCCGGATTCGCGTGTATAACGAAACCACTTTACAGAATGCCAGTTGAACTGATTTCCATCTTCATCCTTTTTTCGAAGTTGCAAACTCTTTTTAGCAGATCTGCAAAATTAAGGAAACCGGAATGATTGAGCTCGATAACTTCAAATTTTTTCTTTTTCCCAACTGAACGAACTAACTGGTACCAATCATAAGGGTGAGAGATAGGCACTTGCAACTTCTTCTTTTGCTTTTCAATAAGTCCATGGTCCACATCACACTCTAAATGAGTGTGTCCACTAATAAGGAACTTATGATCCACAATTTCCAAGTGTATATTTTGTTGCATGGCCACTAAAAACATGGTGGCAACATGGGAGTTTTTGTTCTGCCCTCCACAGGTATCAGAATATAACGTTACCTTTGATACCTGTTGAGGAAGCGAAGTAAGTTCCTTAAAATGCATGTAGCTATTTGGTTTCCTCCCCGGCCACCCTCAGCTTCATGCCACATGTAACATCTAACATTTTGAGTACTAGTTTCATGTAAGGTTAGGTTGAAAGTCCAAAGTTGCCTTTTGTAAAAGGCAACTGACGTATTCAACATGGGGGTTGGTAAACATTGCTGCAAATCAAACATAAAACAACGCCGAGTTTGATCATTTGCTGCCAGTTCCTTATCTTTTCTTTTCTCTTCGTACGCGTTATCAGCTTCTAAATGGTGTATAGCTAACTCCTCTTCACTTTTCTTCTTTTCTTCTTCATCCCCTGCTACTCTGATTTTCATTCTGAGCAAGTCACATTTATTACAAGTATCGACTTTGGGTTCTTTGAAGCTTAAGTTCATTTTGTGAAATTCTCTTTCGTAGATTTGCCTGGATACTGGCTTTCTTTGGATGCTATTAATTTGGTCACAGTAAAGACTGTACATCAAACTTAGACTTAAATGAGGAGGTAAGTATCTCCTGCTACTTTCCCTTCGTGTATAGTGTGATTGGTATAGGGGAAACGATGATATGTGGTCTTTAACTTGTTGTAGTGTTTCAATGGAATGTTTGTTAGCGGAAACTGATCTACCCCTATTATCATCATAGGTGATTCCAGATAATGTGCTATTCTTATTACAGAGAGACAATGTAACGAACATTTGTGTTTCCCCAAGCGTTTTCATGAAACAGGCACGACACACACGAACCCTTTCACCATTAATAACAAAGTGAAAGATATGTGTCTTCGTGCGGAATTTTTCTTTATCAGGATCTACTGTTCTTTTTCTCGAAGAAGCGGGCTCTTTAGTATCAACTAATCCAGCAATAAATCTTACTCTTTTGTTTCTGTCACCAAGTGCCCAATACTCTTGAAATATTTTTTCTCTAATAGTTCTCTCTTCAAATTTCACTTCCAGCTTTTGGCTACATTTCATTCGGCATGACGCCAAGGGCTTTGACACTCTCTCTTTCACTACTTTATTTTTAGCCGTTATGTAACTTTTTCCGGTGTTTCTTTTTTCTTTTCTTTCGCTTCTCTTCTTTCTCGAATAAGTGCCTTTCTCCGCACCATTTTGTCTTGAATTTTCCACCGCAACATCTTTTTGAGCAGCTGCGCATGGTTTTTTATTTCTGGGTCTCTTTGATATCTTCAATGCTGAAACGGTCTTAAATACGTGCACATCATTGTCGTCACTTGATTCGGATGCATCTGGACTATAACTTTTGTCAGCCACGCTGTCGTCACTACATTCCGATAGTACATCAGTTGGTTTGGATGGGCCTAAAAAATTGTTGAAAGCTTACATTCAAAAGAACGCGCATTTTATGATATTTTTAAAAATGATATCAAGTCTTAAATTTTCGTGACTTCAGGTTATCAACAACGTTATGGCATGCTCCACGCGAAAATCAGTGTGTCTATATTTTTTATTTTTGGGCGATTTTGAATATAATAAAATTAACTTAGAAACATAATAAAATAGTAGTTTTTACCTGGAACTCCTAGTATTGAGGAAAAGTCCTGCATAGAATTTGATGGTTGGCAAAGATTTTTGCGTAGATCTGCTTGTTGACCATCTTCATTCCGCTCTTTTCCTAGATAACAGAACAACTCAGGAAGGTAATCTACATACAAACCATTCATTCACAATTCAACGTAATGCGTCAAATCATTATATCAAAAAATAGAGGCGAGTGTGTTTTTCCACCCAAACTGCAAATAAGAACGCAATATAACGGTAACGCGGATGTGAGCTACGAATAGAGCCCCCTTTAAAAGGTTTTTAGAATACCGGTATAGAAAGAAGTCAACCTAACTCCCTATATCGATTTCATTTTTTAAATGATACAGCGATTAAAATCAAATAGAGTAAATCTAAAAAGTAAACAAAACTCCTACTTACCCTTAGTTTCAACAAGGCTCATTATTTTTCTGGTTCTGTCACTGGCCATTGTAACTAATAATACACTTTTGCACTTTTGTTTAATTAAACTGAACGTTCTATAGTAAAACTAAAATTAAACGCATGTACATTTCGGCACTGAATATTTTTGAGGTTATGCTCTAAGAGTATAAGTCTAGCAGTTTTTACGATCAAAATAGACATGTCAACTTATACTATTTCGATTGTTGGTTAAAACAGTATAGCTTGACATATACTATAACGATCTCAACAATCTAGTTATACTCTTTGTATTATTGGAAAGATAATGCGTTATTTCTTTGCATGACTTATACTCTTTTTACCAAAAGGTGGGCAACACTTTAAGGATTCAGTTGCTTGACTTATCTCATTTTGAGCAAATCATGACTTATACTCTTTTTCCCTGGCACCCTAGATATATCGTGGCAAATTTTAAATTGCCACGTCATTAATTCTGAATAACTTAAATGATATGTCTCGTTGTACAAAGAGATTTTAATTTGATGACATTGAATGTGGACGTTGCTGATCAATCGCGTTAGTATTCACGACGCGTCTTTGAATTATAAAAATGGGTTATTTTCTTTAATACGGCTCTGATTTTTTAGCAGAGTCGCTTATTACGTACTGTTCATTTTGTGTTATTTTCTGATATTGGTCAGAGAATATATATATATATATATATATATATATATATATATATATATATATATATATATATATATATATATATATATATATATATATATATATATATATATATATATATATATATATATATATATATATATATATATATATATATATATATATATATATATATATATATATATATATATATATATATATATATATATATATATATATATATATATATATATATATATATATATATATATATATATATATATATATATATATATATATATATATATATATATATATATATATATATTTATTAAACATTGAAAAACGTGGCTTATTATACTCTGTTCACTTAAACGCAGTTTTACTAATTCCATGTCAAATAGAATAGATTTAGATGAGTGTATTTTTATTATTATTTTTAGAATTTCCACAAATTATACTTCGTAAGTCTTTTAGAATAATTGTATAGTAAATTTTTCGTATACTCGCTATTTAAAGCCGTCTATTTCAACATGCCGGTTTTTTACTATATCCTGCGATGGTTGCACCGGCGATAATGAGCACCAAACTTATAAAACATTCCTATTTATCTTATGTGATTATGTGTGTATTCTTGTTGCGTGGTTCAACTAATGCCAAAAGTTTTATTTAGAAGAATTTTATTTTTAAGAAAGGTTCCCTATATATATATATTTGGATTATATTAGAAAATATCGTCGTCTTTTAATCTTGCAAGAATATGTAACCAATGTTTTGGTGCTAGTAATGAATGATAACTGATGAATATTTGAATTACTTAAATTTATTTCCAACCAAAGGAGCAAAATCAGAATAGTCAACTATTTCAATCATTGTTGATGGCTCCCTATTATGATATTATTCGTAGAACTAGGATTAAACTTATCAAAGCTTCCGAAGCTGAAAACATACAGTCTTTCAAAACGCACACGTCGCTTGTTTCTGTCTAATTATAAAATTAAGTACATGCAATGTAGGAAATTAGCCCAAAAATAAATTGCCGCTCATTAAGATCCTCGTGATCGTAATGAAAGGAACGAAATATTAATTGATAATTACTTAACATTTTGATTGCGATTAACTCTAAAGGCCTTTAATTATTTGTTGCTCTTAAACTGGCTCTGTTGAAAAAGAAATGCAACTTTAGGGTGAAGAAACTTTGGCTAAAGTTTAAGATGCAGTTAAGAGGATGCTATGATTGATATTATAAATAATTTATTTAGTTATTTATTTTATTTATTTATTTACATATATTACACACAGGGTGTCGCAGACTGTTCGTGCATTAGAAGTTTTGTAGAGAACCAAAATATCTAGATCGGAGATTTTTTTGCACATCATTGTTTCACAACGAGATCTATTGATTAAAAATATTTTCAATATGGCGACACATCCGGAAACACCGTTGACAGCAACTTTCTTTTTTTAAAATATAGGTACCCCGATTTTTTATTACATACGTAAATTTTCTGTAGAATTTTATAAATTTTGATATCAAACACACTTAACATTAGTAAAGCTTTATTAAGAACCCCCCAATTAGTGGAATAAATTAGTGATTTCAATTACACTTTATACTTTTTAGTTTACGATCGTTCACAATGCCTAAAAACACAACTAAAATTAATAAAATATCCTAGCAACAGCTTACGGTAGTATGTTGTATCCATAGAGAAAGGATAATATTTAGCTTATAAAACAATAAACATTTGATTTCTAACCAAAATGTTTCTTGACGGGTGATAATCAAAGGCCAAAATGACATTCCTCGCATATTTTGAAGTATAATTAGTAGAAGAGCATAGACAAACAAATAAAAAGAGACTGGCAAATTAAATGGCAAAGAGAGGGACAACGTTCCCGTAGCGCAACTCAGAACGCAAAATTTCATTTTATTTATGTTGATCTTCGTATTGCGTCTATTGTGCCCACTATCTCATTCTAATATAACAAGAGAGAAAGAAGCAACCATATAAAACGTAATTTCTAAATAGAAATTAGAACAATCGCCTTTCGTTTTCGTGTCATCATGACAACCAAGATGACAACATCATGACAATTCGTCATGTTTGTTAATTTTTCTCTTGGTGATTTACCTTTTTTTCTAAACTCTCCATTTTATTGACTTATGAATATGGATAGGGAACAAATTCCTTTATTCCATATAGGTATTTATATTTTGTTACTTATAATTTTCGGTTATACTATTTGTTATTTTATTTGCTGCAGGAACCAGTATCATCTATTTTTTGTATGTATTGGTGCCCCTTTTCTCTGATATAGTCTGTCCAACGAGAAGATCCTTGACAGTGATAGATGTGTCTGTCATTTTAATTTCAAAGTAGTTTATTTTATTTTACAAAGAAATAAGTTGGTACAACTGGAACGCATAGCAGGATATATTTAAAATTTGATTGACCAGATGACAAGTGATTACTTCAAAATATTGTGAAAAAAACTGTATAAAACTGAAAAAATGTAATCCAGTTATTTTATTTAATAAAAACGGTATGTGTTAATACAAAACAAACAAGAACAAGACACTACATATCAAAAAAATATAAAAAAGAACTATTATTTACTTTCAAGCTTTATGAGACTACCCGCATTTATGATTATATTTATCAATATAACTTATGTACAAATACAAATTTGTAATATAACACAGGAATAAATAAAACAACATAGGTAAATAAAACAAACTACTTTATTAATAATAACACCTACCAAATTTTATACCTTAAAGGTTGATTAATTAACTTTAATCTTAATTTTTTTAAACCAGTACCTTTTGACATTATTTTTCTGCAGTACTAAAATCCATTATTTACCTATCGTGTGATGTCGATATTTTACAGCTACTCCAGTTTTTAGTATGTGTTTAGTTTGATCCTTCTATCATATACGAGATGCACTTATCTACGACGAGATGGTATACAAACTTTAACGATGGCAACTTCATTGGTGTATAAGACTTTCTGCCTGGGCAGCGAGTATTAACCATAAACTATGCTCTGGGTCTACAGTTAATTTTCACTCGATTTTTCCTCCACTTGACTTCAAAAGACACAAAACACACGTAATAATACGAATCAAAATGCATCATCTTCCAAAACGCAGGGTATTTAACAAAAGTTGACACAAAATTATAACCTATAATTTGGGAAGACTTTGACATGCGTCAAAAATGACAAAAATCTAAAGGCGAGTTCATACGCATCGGCGTCCGTTTATCGTTCATCGTTCCGTCAAACCAATAAAATTGAAATACGATCTGTCATTTTTTAAATAAACCAATAAAACTGGTTAAAAACAACAAGACACGACGCATGACGGATTTATATTTAAACCCATCCATAGATAACTTAAAAATTATTAGAAACTTTTTGTAGTAAAATAAATAGATTGGTATGGGACGTCATCTGCTTTTCTTCTGTCATCGTCTGTCGAAATCTTACCTGAGAAAAAAAACAGAGTATAGATATGTTAAAGACACCCGGTAAAATAAAAGTAAGTAGTTATATTTATCATCTTATTAAGAAAAAAGTAGAAGTCCTCTCTCTTGACATAACAAATTAATACAATTAATTTTTTTCATTTTTTGTGTAGGTAGTTTATAGCTGGTTTATAGTAACCAGAAACTTTATTAATATACCTATTTTACTTTTGTTTCAGGATTAAAACTGGACTTGAAAATGGTCCAGGATCATGATTCTCGTAAAGTCTTCTTTGCTTGGATATTCACTTTGTTATTGCAATTAGGCAGTTTTTTTCGAAAATGAGATTTTTAATGCCCTTTAAAAAAATTGGCCGATCGTTTCCTGCAACAGTCAGTTCTTCTGCATTTAAAATTGGTAGGTGGGTGGAATAAACACTGTTATTTCTTGTTATTATATTATAAAAAGTTTATTTATTTTTATGTATAAATAAATATGTTTATAAAACAGTACAATTTTTGCTTTTTTTTATAATTTCCCTTATAATAGTAGTATTCTTTCGTTCTGAAAGAAACTGAAAATTTTCACTTAAACTGATTTATTCTCTACACCACGTTCCCTTTACGTGGTATAGGGAATAAATCAGTTTAAGTGAAAATTTTCAGTTTCAGAATGAAAGAATACTACTAATAAAGGCTAATTTAAATTTTCCGCCAGCCAGAATGCACACCTAATAAAGAAAGATAGCAATAAAGACGTACGTCCTGCCATGGTCCTGCTAATTGGTTTCAAAATTGTTATTCTGAGTTGCGCTACGGGAACGCGGTCCCACTCTTTACCATGAGATTTGCCAGTCTCTTTTTATTTGTTTGTCTATGTAGAAAAGTCAAAAGTTTGTTAACTTTTTTCAATAATTGAAAATTACTACCACTATTATTTATGACGTTCTGAATCATCATCATCATTACTTAGCTTATACCGTCCACTGCTCAACAAAAGCCTCCCTCACCTCTAGCCATTCCTTTCTATTTTGTGCCACTTGAATCCAGTTTCCAGCCACCCTCTTA